AGCGATACTCACAGGCATTACGACAAGATAACAAAACTCCCACTCACACTACATACATTCAGAATAACTCGGACCATTCCATTCCAACATGGTTTTTCGCAAAAAGATCTTTCGGCGCAGTTCGGCCTGGTGGGGGCATTTTGTTAATTCCCAGCGACCACTACACATGCCTTCTGTGGGGACCTGTGAACTCCTGTAAAGCTATGCCATAGCAGGATCTTCGCTTACTTTTGACAAGAGTCTACATGTCTCACCAAGGTGTTACATGTAATAAAACAAGAACTAGCAAAAGGAACTGACAAAAGTGCAAAATGCCCTTCTTAGCCGAAAAGCTCCTGTTTTCTCTACTTGAAGTCAAATAGTAATGCATGAGAAAGGAAACCACTGTACTATATGAAACGCTTGCTTTAACCATTAAACGGCGGCTTATTCCTTTCCAAAGAAAGCAACACTAAATCACGATCTCACCTGAAATCAAGACGAGAAGACAAAGGAACGTATGCATGATGATACGATTGAGTTAAGGTTGAGTGTTTATAGACAGCACTCATAATAGCCGCCTTCTACTAGTAGATGCGTCGCACAATGCATTCCTGTCGCTGCGACTGATTCAAAACAAAACGCTTGTTGACGGCTTTTGTTATATATATTCTGCTAATCTCGCTGCTTGGGCGGAGGTGGTACAGTGGCAGGTGGCCCGCTTTCTAAGCGAACAGTCAAGGTTCAGAGGCAGTATCGGCTCCCTTGGCCAACCAAGCCGCGCCTTCTAACCTTCGGGACCCGGTAAAGTCATACCTGGAGAGACAGAAACACTGATTAGTACATCGACTGGCCTCCCCTAGTATAGGGAGCATTACATTCAAAAAATCACCGAATCCTGAATGGCAGTAGAATAACTACCGCATCAGAAGAAGGTTTTAACCAGCGGCGTAAGCTTTGTTAATTATTAATTTTATCCCTTATCATTTACACTTGACCCTATTACTTATCACTTAACCTCGGCCTTTATCGTGAACCCAGACTTAGACCCAGCTTTCAGCCAAAACCTAAAAAAAGAGTATTCACTCAGAGGTATAAAAGGATAAAAGGATAAAGTCTTCGCCGTTGATCAATCCCTTTGTGGGATGCGGCACGCATTCTACTTCCATTCAGAATCGTAGTGGCTTATTGAATGCGATGTGGCCTATACAATGACTTGCGGGGCCAGCCGATGTACAAGTCAGTGTCTTTTATTCTCTCCAGACGAATCTGGTACCAATTTACCGTCCCCGGAGGAAAGAAGGCTTGGTTGGCCTGGGCGGGTGTCGACCTGGGATTCGAACCCAGGACCGCGCGAGTGGTAAGCGCGCCACTTGTCACTACACCACCTCCGCCTCCACTCAGAGGTATAGTTACTACAAAATACACCGAGAAAAGTGAGCAGAACAGGATGGGCCGTAACTGTAAGAGGAAAAGTTTTCGGCGCCATTTGGCTTCGGCGGGGCGATTTCCACTTTCGCTGGTTCCTTTGCTAGTTCATGTTAATTAACAAGTTGCACTTTGGTGAGATCTGTAAAGTTCTGTGAAGCTACGGACTGGTACAAGCGAGCCACTTCGCTTACAGGAGTTAACAGGTTTTCACAAGGCGGCCTGAACTAGCTATGTGAAATACCACTTGATGACCCCACCAAGCCGAACTGCGCCCTTCCTGATAAATTATAACTTTTCACTGAAGATAAAACCAGATTTTTGGCAGCGATCGGTTTCGGAGTGGGGGGGGGGGCAATTGCACTTCCGCTACTTCCGATCATCGTATTCATTGCTTTACGAGAAGTGGCAAGTAATCTTCGTAGAAAATAACAAGTACACTCTATAAATTTTGACTGGCGTACCGAAAATGTAGTACGCCCCCCCCCCCCCGCCACCCAAACCAAACTGTGCCAAGTTCTTTTAACACACAAACACGTCGAAGAACTACTTACCGGTAACTCGCGATCGCTGACGACGATCTACTGCGCACTGCATTCGGCGGTGAGTTGTTTGCTGGAACAGGTTGAGCTCCAGTGAAGGCCCCAGGTGGAGGTGCTGCGGTTGCAATTGATGACAAGGTGTAGCTGGACGGACTGTGGCTCATGGACGATGCGTAACTTCGTGCACCTGAAGAACATTTATTGCGACTGAAAAAGACTCCAAATATACATCAAAGACTCTAATCTTCTCTCTATCTATTCGTCTTCCATTCCAAATGTTAAAAAAAAACTAGGACCATTGACATTTAGTTACTCTATAAACAGCCAAACAAAAACAGATGCGCAAAAGAAAGGTTACCAGTGGGTCGCGGAGGACGTTTAGCTCCTGGTGATTTTACTACAACAAATCTCATCAATAAAAAAAATCACAAGGTCTTAGGTAAAGCGCTTACTCACCAGCAGTGGGACCCAGTGTTGCCGAACCAGCTCCAGCCGCAAAAGTGGAAGGAGAGAAAGCTGAACTGCGAGATGCTGCTGGTCTAAAGAAACTCTATTTACAGGTCAAATGGGGAAATATAGCACTAAACGTCACTCACGTGGTGTACGGCGCTCGCTGATATCCAGGTGATACCGATGAAGATCTTGTTAGAGTGGTACCATTGGTGGCAGCCGTTGTGTTGGATCTTGTCAGGGTCATGCTTCCTGGAAAATAAGCGGAACATTGGCAATGCACAGACAGCACAGGCGACAAGCCTACAACTACAAAAAGGCTTCTAATTTCGAAAAAAAAAACAAAACACTAAAGCATCACTCAACTATTGATACCTCAAAATTTTCTTTGGGAAAGTTTCGATTACGGGGGCTATTTTTAGAGCCCAGGTCGGAAATGTGACATTCATTCCTGGCGCAAGCGCAAAAGGTGCTACAATCAGTTACTAAAACATAGATTCGCACAGTAGGATTATCCGGTATCTTGATCAGGAGAATGCCCAGGACTCGAACCCGCATATCACGCTTTCCGGGCGAGTGCGCCATTTGTTACGACACCAGGGCATGGACAAATGTCCTGACCCCAGGCGAGATCCTAACCCGCACTTCATGGTTCCGGGGGAGTACGCTAGCCGTTACGCCATCGGGCCGCTCTTACTCATTCATGAACTTTCAAGGGCAAAAGTCTCGACTCAGGTGGAGCTCGAACCCGCATTTCATGACTTTTGGGCGACTGCGCTATTACTTTATCAGGGCTGCCTCCTACCCTTTCACGTCTTTTGGAGCGCGAACTCAGCGATAAATACTATTTGTCGTGATAAAACGACTTCTGAGTGTGATATTCATGTCTAGCCTCGGCACTGATGCCGAAATGAAGCTCACGCCTGTGATAACGTAAAAGAGGGAGGGGCTGGCGGTGAGTCCAGACCATGCCCAGGTCGTCTGCGCCTCTGCCAAGGCCGGCACAGAGGGAAGGGTATCACCTCTCCCCAGAATTAGCGTCAACACAGCGCCAAATGGAGACCTTAAAACGGAGATTTTATTCGCGACTAGGACCCCACTGATGCCGAAGATGAAGCAATAAGTATGTCCCGCGATTCGGATTCTTAACTGCCCCTCAATACAAGCTTATGCAAACTTTGGGAAAAGTCGTGGCGCCACGTTGGAGCTGCTTAACTATGGTGCTGGTTAGTGTCCGAACACGAATGCCATACGCATAACTTAAATGCCAATCTGCCCTTGTATCCAATTTTACATCGATTTTGATGAAAAAAGGCCGGCGCTAAATAAGCGTCAATTGTTGCCGAAACTAACGTCATGTTGGGGAGCGGAGCACTGCGCAACCTTACTGCCATAATTTCAGTCTAAAGTTCCTTGGCGTATAAAACCCATTTTTACGAGAGTATCTGCGACTCCCTTTCCAATGCGCGATGGAAGTTGAAGCAACGAACGGGACACCTACGCAAATCTTCGAAAAAAAGAAACGGACACCAAGCCTGAGCGCTTCCTCACACATCCTCATCCTTCACAAGACGCTCACATACCTCAGGCCCTCTGACTCTCGAGCTCAAGTTGTTTCAGTTTGATAACCGCTGTTTAGCGCTTTTTATATAACTTTCGTAGCGCGCACTGCAGCGTTAAACAGCAGTTATCACACTGAAACAGCTTCAAAACACGTAAAAGCCCGCAGCCTCGCGGTTCTTGCTGACATCTTCTACCCGGCTCATCACGTTAGACGTGGCCGTGAGGCCATGGCGCAAAATGCCATTGAGCTGAAAGCGTACGAGTGGCCCGGCCCAGTAGTAATGGTAACGGAACAGCTCGGTAAGCGGGAGGTGCGGGTTCGATTCCCGTCCCAAGTCCGACTTTTGCCCATAATTCAGCAAACTCGCTAGGCTACTGTTTTTGACTGCCGGATGGATGGATGTTTGGTTCAAATCAGATGATGTCTTGCTCCTGCGGAGTATAGGGCGTGTCAGTGTTTGGCGCGGTGCCAAACCCTTTTCCACCAATTGTTGAAGCGAGCAGGCAACAAGGGCGCATCGTACCGTTCGTATTAGTTCGCTCCCACCAATTTTTGTCGTTTGCCTCTTCGACAACTGGTGGAAAACGAGTTTGGAACTGCGCCGAACGCAGTTGCACTGACACGCCCATCACCCGCAGCGGACCTGATCAATTTGGCTCGACTTCTCATTGACTAAGATTTTTGGTCAAATTCACACCATAGAGGTTCTCCACTTTGTGTACCTTTGAATTCAAAAAGAAGTCATCTTAGCCCTTCCTGGTCCGTCTCCTGGACCGCTCTAACCCTATTTGTTCATACTAATCACACTGACTCTACCTGATGAGCGCCCCAGAGGCAATCAATAAAAGCCGACCAGTTCCAATGTAGCATAGATTTGCTTTTTCTTGGTCAATCAGCGCAGTAACTAATCATCAAGACTGCGGCATGTAATTTTAAGTGGACAGCTGCCTGGCTGCAGTTGCTGCAGATCTATTGTAATATCCGACGAAGAATGGACTCACCTCTAGTAGCATCTGAAGCAGTCGTAGATGGCGCCGGAGGAGGACGCGACGACGGTGTATATGAAGAGGCCGAATATCGATAGGAACTCAGACTGTACATAAAGCTGGCTATTCACGCACACAAAAGAGAAAATTGAGGTGGAAAGTCTACACGAACGCTTACCTCGAGCCATAGTTACGTGGCGTGGTGTAATTACCAGATCTTATCGACGTTGTTGAGCTGCTTAAACGGCCCCATTGACCACCTTCCTGCTTACGCATTACAAACTCTCGTCCTTCCGAACAGACCTGAATCTTTTCCTACATCACGATTGAATTACAACAACGATTCACTTTACAATGACGCCACACATAGACGAGCCTTCGAACAAACATATGATAATCCAATTATTGGTATCAGAGAATTCAGCGCTTTTCGGCTTAGGGGGGGGGACATTTCACGGGTTTCTTTTGCTTATTCCTACACGTGTTACCACGGTGAGTCTTGTAGACTCTTATCGAGTGTAAAGGAAGCTCATGCTATTGCAGCTAGCTTTACAGGAATGCACAAGTGTCCACAGAGGGCATCAGCAGTGATCGATGTGAACCAGCCAAATGCCCCCTCCAAGCCGATGAATGCCAAGATTTCCTGTAACCAACACATTGAGAGAAGACTGAACTGAGCAGAATTTTACATCTTTCTATTTTTAAGCAGAGTGGTCAACAAGCGAACAACTGGTGACGGTAAAATGGATAGAATGGACGAGAGGAAATGAAATGATGACAGGATAAACAACATGGCACACACATACACAGCAACAGCAACTTACTACCTACCTCTAATGAATCCGTTTCTATAGTACCTGCAAGCTGAACACGCCATGCAAAAGTCGTGCCTCGAACCTCACCGTATCTTCTCAAAAGTCGGTCATCCGGATCACTAAACGAAAACATTCTATCAATGTTCTCGTCGTTTCCATGAAAACTCTAGCTGGTAGTTAATGTGAGAAAAAAAAACTAGGCGCGGTTCGGCTTGGGTGGGGCATTTTGCACTTTCGCTAGTTTCTATTACCTGTTCATATTAACTTACATGTCTTGTTCCAATCCAGTGAACTCTTGTGAACAGGGCGGCCGCGGGAGAGAATATTTGCGAAAGACCCCCCCCCCACCCCCAGATTTCCTCCCGTGGTACGATCCCCCTTTGCTACCGTTCATACTTCTGAGATTTCCCTACTCCCAACTCTTCTTCCAAATTTTTTTGAAAATTTTCCACTTTTTCCCTAAAGTTTTGCCATCGAGTGGGAAGATGTTATGAAACGGGAAAAGCATCCAGGAAAATTCTCTGTATGAGTAAATGTTCTTAGGGCTCTAATACGACCTCTCACCTCTCCCTCCAGAGATTTTCACCCAACGTTACGGAAAGCTCGCGTGGAAGAGGAAACACAACCAACAAAAAAATTTCCCTCGGCCAAGTACGATCATCTCCAGCGTCCAAATACCTACCCCAGTGTGATTCCCCAGCGCTTGACATGCCCTGCTTGCGAAGCTGCGTAATGGTACAACTGAGCAGCTTTACTCACAAGAGCTTACAGGTTTTCACAGGATGGCCTATAGAAACTAGTTGAACACCGTTTGATGCCCCCACCAAGCCGAACTGCGACAAAAACTACTATCATATTAGTACTGTGAGAACACACAACGTTATACACTCAAGGCATAAACAAAGGCAATATGAAAAGACATGGAAAAATGGACGATAATTCGAGCGTAACACATCAAAAAGCTCTTTTTAAATAGCGGCAGACAAACGCCTCTGATAAAAGGGCAGTACTGAGTAGCGATGGAAATCTCAGGCCTTTCCCTTTTGCCAAGGCAGAACGTAAGGTGTGAAGGTTTCGCAGCAGGTGGTCGAGAGGAATGAGTGGACATGACTACAGGTAAAATATCTGAGGAGGGCGGAGAGTGATAGACGCAAAGCGAACGTAAAGGACATTAGGTACTTCAGAGTGAACGAGGAAAGTCCAGCTGAAGAGTCGATGCGCAGTCACGTGCTAAAGTTCACGGGCGGGATCGCGCTAACGTTACGAAGACGCTAATTTGACGCGAGGCCCTGCTAACGCACTCCATTAGAACCCGTCTCAGATACTTGTCAACCACGGAACATCCCTCCTCCTTTTTTCTTCTTTCTTTTCCTCCTCCATTCCCTCTCCCTCTTTCCTCTTCTTTTTCCTTCTCTCTTCAGATGCTCGACCAACAGGCAATAAGGAAATACCCTGGAGCCTCGCAGTGAGAGGACCTTCGGTTGATAACGGCCGCGTAGTCAAACCCTTTAGTGAGAAAATCGAGGCTTACAGGATCAGTCCGCACGAAATCAGGGAGGATAGAACCGAGGTTGGACAAGCAAATTCAGAACCAAGTGTGCTAGTTGTCCAAAAGCGGCCTCATTCACCCTTACTACCCTTTACTGCCTTACTCGTTGAAATTAAGGCCAAATCTCATCAAAATTCCCCCGAGGACAAATTTCGCTGAAATTTCATCCCTGTAGGTGATTTGATTCCTATGCACGAATAGAGAATCCACTTGAAGCCAAACTTCCTGGCGCTCCCGTCACATGCCACAAGTGAATTTGGCATCGGCGCTGCATAGCGCCTAGGGACCAAGTAGATCTGATATTTGTATACTGGGGAATAAATACTCCCGGAGCAAGGCTTTAAGTAAGCATGGTGCTTTGGGACGGTTTGACGCCCAGTTTCGAAACAAGCAGGTGTGAAATCCATTTTGAAGGTAATTCACACCTGAAACGAGATTACAACAAAATCCACCCACTTCCCTCCACCCCTACCTTCGAAAAGAAATTTGGAACAAAATCCGGTTGGAATTTCCAAGACTGGGCTTTGAAAGGTAAACATTGCCCCAATGCCTGTGAACCTATTAAATAATCCCCGCCTCCTAAAATATCAGTTCTTTTTCACTCTGAACCAGTATCCCATTGATTCGCCTCCTCTACTTGCAAGCTCGTCTAAGAAGCTTTAAACGCGAATTGAACTCAAAGACAAGCCCCGCAACTGCGTAGTGTGGATAGCGGCTCTCAGTAATGTACCTATGGTCGCTAAGTGACTCTCCAGGGGAGAAAAAAAAGAAATCATAGATAACACCATGAGAATTCCGAGCAGCCCCTGCACGAGTTCTTTAGAGCTGCTCATTTTGAGCCAGCAAAGCGATATAGCCACCCCTGGCTCACTACTCGTTTCATCGCATCAACTAGTCCAGATACCATCCAACAGTGAAAAAAAGACAAAAAAATAGAAGATAGCCTTTGGAGTTTTAGTGGGCGGGACAAATAGGGAGGCGTCGAAACTACCATTTATGAGGGCCGCAGCGCCTTCGCTACACTGTGGAGCTACGAAAATCGGACAATCTTAGAGGCTGCAGACCAGACTATTTGAACAAGAAAGGGCGTCCACGACTTGGTTGAGCGCGGGACTGTCTTCAAGGATGAGAGAGCGAAGCAGAGAAGGAAATAAAGTGAAAGTCAACTGTTAAAAAAGTTGCTCAAAAGTCCTAAGTAAGATGAAGGAAAGACAAGAGATGCCACCAAATGACAGGCATAATGACAATCCTTATGTTACAAGCCTATCCGTGAAAATCTAGTTAAAAATTAAATTAAACTGGTCCAACGGAAACAAATGATTGAATTGGCGAATAGAATAAATAATGAATATATAGAAAGGCCAAGATCCGTTTTGGCTCTCAAAAATGTATACAGTGAGTGCAGAGCGAGCGCGTGCAGTAGCGCCTGCGGCAGCGAGATAGGCAAGGTGTAAAGAGGGTCAGTTAGTGATCGAGTCGATCGAGGCTCATCGCATTGAACGAAGAGAGGGAGGTATTCCAGTACTTGAACACAAGCGCGTCCACAGCCGAGCACTCGCTTCTCAACTAAGCAGCCTCCGGCGCGCTATTACAACACCTCAAAACGACCAACAGCAGCGATGAGCAAGACGATTCACGGCCACGACTTCAACCCACTCGTATAATTGAAACCAAGCCATGTGTCATATTGTCTGCACACAGCGCTGATGCGGAAACTAAACTTTACGGCTTGCTGCTTTGATT